CATACATCATGGCTGGTCTCACCACCGTCCTGTAAACTTTTCCCTTCACCTTAGCTGACACTCTTCTGTCACAGATCACTCCTGACACTTTTCTCCAAACCAGAATATGTGGTTTAATAATAGGAAGAAGAAATGAAGACAAGGGAAATAAAGGAAATGACACGCTCCCTACGCAAGTGTTTCATGTGTTTGACATATGTGAAGCAATTTCTCTTTGGGATCATTTCACCTATTTCTCTGTTAATGTTGCATAGGAACATCCTTTATGGTCCACTCGTTTTTCACAACTGAATACAAAAAAATCAGTGATGGTCTTCAGATCCAGTAGCTCCCCTCAGGGTGGTCTATTTAAATAAGCCTCAGTCTTAAACATGTATTTTTATTTATTATAATTTAAATATTTATCGGTCTAGATAAATAACCTCTGAAAGACGTGCCATGTTTAAGATGAAAATGGATGGATGGATGGAGACGTGCCATGTTTAATGTCTGGGTTTTTTTCTTCCTCTCGTCTTGTTTCTCAGAGAAGGATAAACCTCTGATGGTGATGCACGGCACACCGGAGTTCGTGGCGCCAGAGGTGATCAACTACGAGCCTGTGGGCGTGGAGACAGACATGTGGAGCATCGGGGTCATCTGCTACATCCTGTGAGTGGGACAGCAGTGAGGGCGGTGTTGACAAGCAGTCTACTTTTCTGTTATGTAACTATTTGTCACGTTATGTTTCCAAATCAGATGAAGTATAATCACAATACTATTGGTTGAAGACATTGGAAGATTCAGCCAGTAGCAATCATGTCCCTTTAAATTGCCATTAAAATAGAAAAATTCACCATGAATATAATACATTTAGTCCACAAGCATTGTTAAATCTACGATTTATAACATTGAACATTGGAACATTATTAACTGTTTGTGGAGATGTGTTTAGTGCCATCATCTGGTAATGATCTGGTACTGCCAAAGAACCATGTGTCTATGTATTCATAAATTAAATTTTAATAATAATAATTATTATTATTATTGTAGTATTTTATTATAATAGTGTTGCAAATGTATTTTGCAAAATATCAAATATAATTATATTTTTATTAATTTAGTCAATGATGCTCTAAAGGATTTTTTCACAGTATGTAGCCCGTCTCCTCTTGTGACAAACAATCCAAGATTTGCATGTAAACATTTAAATGCTTTGTGTCCTGCAGGTTGAGCGGAGAATCTCCTTTTCAGGGAAACAGCGACGCTGAGACCTTTGCCCTCGTGACCGCGGCCAAATTTGAGTTTGACCAGGAAAGTTTCGAGGACATTTCCGATCAAGCTAAAGACTTCATTAGTTCCCTGCTGCAAAAAGACTCCAGGTTGGTTTTTAAAAAAAGCTTTTTTCAATACCTACCACTTAATTCTTTCAAATCAGAAGTCTTGGTGTAGACCACCCCTAGAGGTTCCGTGGAAGTACTGCAGAGGGCTCGTCAATTTTAGCTTGGTCTATTTGATATCATTATTAATTCCTCTAATTTAAATTTTAATTATGTGAACATGTATATTATATGAACAACACAGCACGAATTGCAAAAACATTTAAAAAAATTTGTTTTTTCTACAATATACAGTATATTCTACATAAAATGCAGTTTTAAATGCCTTAAAAAGAGGTTATTCTGTCAGTGAATAAAAGTGAAGTTAGGTCATCTCTTAAAATTTACTTTAGCTCATTTTGTTGTGTGTATTGCATAGAGCAGAAACGCCAGCAGGGTAATGTCCTTTTACATTTTTTGTCTCTATGATTGGGTACATGTAATGTGAATATGCCAAAATATGGCCGCGCTCAGGCTGTAGATAAATCACTGTCTTTGTTTTTTTTCTTTTTTTTTTCTGTGTTCTGTGTCCACTTCGACTGCAGATCCAGGCTGTCCTGTACCGAGGCGTTGGCCCACCCCTGGATGGTGTCCTTCACCCCCCTCACCCGCAGACCCACTAAATCTCTGAGGAAGGAGAAAATGAGACGCTTCCTGGCCAAACGCAAGTGGAAGGTAAAACACTTTTGAAAAATAACTGGACAGATGTACAATTTTCTTATCGGAGCCTTCCGACGACGACCTTTTAAAGCAATTGTGCTGCACATGCCTGAAGCTTTGGTACGAATGTGACTTCTCATCCTGCACTGTGTGTCCTTTTAAACTGCCAGAAAACCGGCAAGGCTGTTTTGGCCCTGCAGCGGATGACTAACCTCTCCAGCAGGCCAGACTCTCCCGGCAGCTCCTCAGAGGGTACGACCGATAAGTGAAGACACACACACACACACACACACTCATGCTAAATGCCCCTCTTCCCCCTGCAGCCACACACATGTGGCAGATGATTCACAGTTTCAGAGTGTCACTTCAACTTTAGCCTTTTGTGATCAGTAGAGCCTTGTTTTCACATTTTCATCTTCATCACCATCATCATCATCCTCTCTTAACGCAGACCAAAGCTGGAGCCAGGAGGCAGAGGAGGCCATTCAGTCTCTGGACAGGCAGCTTCAGTGTGAGCCCAGTTTCCAGCAGGTCCTGAGGGACGTCACGCTGCCGAGAGGAGCAACTGCTCAGTTCAAATGTCGCATCAATGGTACAGTGATAAAGCTGCAAACTTAAATTTTTTTTTTCAAATAATAGGCTTTCTGGGTTTTAATAGAATGATGAGTTCAAACACCAATCAGACAGTGAAAACGAGTGACAGTTTAGGAAAGCATGGGAGACAAGGGGAAGGGCTCTGGAAGGGTTTGGGGCTGCTTTTAGGTCTATATGTTGTGTCATCATGAATGCTTGTACACAGTGTGTATAAAGTTTTTTTTTTTTTTTTAATTATTATTTATTTTATTCCCAGGTTACCCACAGCCAAAGGTGACGTGGCTTCACAATGACAAACTAGTGCCTGAATCCAGCAGAGTGAGCATGGAGAAGGACGAGGACGGGTTCTGTTCTCTGGTTCTGGCTGATCTGGAACTCTCTGACTCTGGAGTGTACATGTGTCGGGCCAGCAACAAGCTGGGAGCAGCCTCCTGCTCTGCTAAACTTAAAGTGGAAATGTAACCCAGAGGAACACGCAGGTTGTACACCGCAGAAGCTGAGAACCTTCTTCACCTCGAGGCGGCTTTTTCACCAAGGAGTGACTAATGTTTCGTTGCATGAAGGGACACTCTCTCACACACACACACACAGTCTCACACGGGTGCATTCATGCAGATTTGAGGACGTGTTCTGGATTCAGCCATGGATTTATTTCGTCACGTACAGTCTTTAATTCACTCATCACTTTAACTTGTGCACTTTTTAGTCTCTGTGTTTATAGAGTTCCGGCACCAGTGCACTGTTTTTGAAACGATGGAGGTTGGGTCACGTCGTAGGAATGTTGACTTCAGTTTCCTACGGACCACACTGGGTGTCTCACTATTGTACTTTTTTTTTTTTTTTTTTTTACTGTTGAAGTATATGTGGTCAGTGTGAACTGACTTTGTGAACCATCTGTTTTTAACTCGATGACTTTACAGCATTAAAAAAACATTTAGGAATATATCTGCGTCTTCTCGCAATGTGTTTAAATACACAATACTTCACAGGTATTCAGGTCCTTCAGCCAGGGAAGGTAAGATAAGTTCTTCGAAATAAATATACAGAACAGCAACGTTTGTTTTTTTACATTAAATTGTTTATTCTCTGTTACATGAAAATATCACAATGTTTTGCAGGATACACATTGCATGCTTTTAAACACACTGCCTTAATAATTCGTACTTTCACCCACCAAATGCCCAGTTAAAACCACCACACCAAGTAGGCTAGGCTTCTCCCATGAGACACTCACACTGACACGACATTAAATTAGGTCCAACACATTCACATCAGGTTCAAACCTCTCTGCCTCTTTCGACTGATGCCATTCATTTGAACGGTGCAGCTGGTTAAAAATGTGTAAATCAACTATGAATGGATCTGTTTATACTACCTTCCTGAAACACAGTGCACTGGCTGTTAAAAGTAACAACCATTAATAACGTGGTCAGCGTTTACCTTTTTAATGTGTGGCCATGATTGAATATTGAGATATTCTTCATATACAGACCCTGGAAGTATAAAATTAGAACTTGTCCAGTATTCAATTACTTTCTGAGCTACATTCACTAATGTCAAAAGCCATAATAATAATAATAATAAGAGGACAGACTCCATAAAGTGTCACCGGCTGACAAAGTGCCAGAAAGAGCAATCTGAGGAAATAACTACCATCAAATTAGTGAACTATAACACAACAACAATAAGTAACAGAAATCATTTGGTTGTTCCATGATGTCGTATTTAAAATTCCACCATTTAAAAAACCTCAACTCAGTCAATCAGGCACAGATGTCTCGGACTGAAGATGTGCAGAGGTCACGTTGCACCTCTTCTCTTCCTTGTAAGGCAAACCTCCTCCTGGGGACCGGTCATGTAAAGTGGTGGGTCGGTTGGTCTGAAGTACCATCACACAGTGACTTAAACATTCCTACTGACTTCCTGCTCCTTTTTGAATTCTTTTCTGAAGAAGTTTCCAAGCTTTTAAAACCTTCAAAAGGAAAACAATACAAATAAAAACATATATTCAATATTCAAGACACTGACTGTAAACAGCCTGAGGAGTGTGCCTAACCTGTTTCTGTGTGACCTCTGGCTCCCACAGTGTGCTCAGCACTACGTTGGCGTGTTGCACTTGTTTGGCGGCCGGCCACTGACTCTCCAGTCTGCGCAGAGCATCCTCTCTGGTCACTCCATCTCGCTCCTGTATCCTCAATATGGCCTTTAAAAAAAAATCAATAAGGAGCTAAGTCATTGAATTGAATACATTTGCTGCCACCTTGTGGTAAAAAGGCAGAGACGTTACACACATTTTTATGCTTTCCAGTATTGTCTTTGGAGTTTTTAGTCGGAATTGAACCCAAACACATGTGGACATAAGTTTGACGGCTACATTTCATTAATATTCAGTCACAACCACTCACTGTGGCACTATTTTGTCCCATCCCACTGAGATTACCTCCTCCTCTGGTATCACGGACACCCACACCTCGTGGACCATGTCAGTCCAGCCGGCCTCCAGCAGAACGGCCGCGTCAACCACGCAAATCCGTTCACCTGCAAGCACAGGTTAGAAAATTAACTTTTAATGTACCATCTTTCCATGCTCTGCTAAGCACAGCACAAATAGAGCTTCAGGTTTCTGGTTTACCATTTTTTATACTTAAGCTTTGTCAACTGTCTGTTTTTCTGATCTCCAAAGCCCCCATTATTTTAGGAATCAGGTTTTACTCTGTACCTTCTTCTCTGGCTTGGTTGATTCTCTTCTTCACTAGAAGTGCTATTTCAGGCCACAGAATATTTGTCAAGGCTTTTAACCGCTCCTGTAATTTGAGGAAAATAAAAAAAAAAACTTGTAAAAAAAAAATACATGGAAAAGTTTACACTGCAACAAATACATGTATGTATGTGTATATTCACTGTAATACCTGGTTTCCAAATACTGTCTTTCCTAGTGCGCGTCTATTTATAGTTTTGTCATCATTCATGATATCTATAAGAAAAAAAAAGGAAAATTAGACTAACAGCATTTATGTAAATACCAACAACTATTTTTTGTTATTTCAAAGTTGTTGTTTTTTTCTCACCGGCTCCAAACTCCTCCAGTACTCTGTTGTAAGCTGCTGTTCCCGGCTCATACACCTCATGGCCCAGTTTGTCACAGTCAATGCGAACTGCACCCAACGCCTCCAGGCGCATGGCGATGGAGCTCTTACCACTGCCGCTGCCTCCTGTTAGACCAATCACGTACGGAAGAGGGGGGAGATGAGAAGACTCCTACAGAGGAACAGGAGAGAGACCAAGAATGCAGGTGCAACAAGTATTACGTATTATTTTCATACATTACTAATTGAATAACAAGTTTCACTAACGTACTCTAGGTGGAGTGAGCAGGGTCCCGAGGAGTCGAGAGCGTAGACTTGAGGAGCTGATTTTCTCTTCCTCCACCTCGGAGTGATGGGCGTCTTTGAGCAACTGGATCTCATGAATAACAAGAGCTGGAAGATCCTGGTTCAGGGAAGAGAGGAAACGACATATGAATTTTTAGTAAAACGTATTTCACGTTTAAAAGCAGTGCCATTTCCTGTTAGATGTCTCTTAGCAACAGCGGTTTCCATATATTTATTCAAAATATTCAGGCACACTCTACTCCATAACTTACGTTATCTGCACGCCTCTTGTTCACTGCTTCACCTCCCCGTCTCGTTTCCTCGCTAACCACGATGCACTGCAGCAGAGGGTCAACCACAGACTCCCCAAAAGGGTCATCGAGGGGCACAATCTCACACTCTATGGAAGGTTTGATGTCTTCCAAAAACTCTTTAAGTTTCTGCACCCGCAGAGAGTAGGGCTCAATTAGCTCCTTCAGAACTTTTTCTGAGGAGAAAAAATACAATACATGCTGTTATTATGGATTTCCAAAATAGGACTTGAGAGCAGAGATGTGACATAAATCTGCAAGAAAGGCACCAAAATACTCACTTTGTAACATTATTTCACTACACACTCCGATGAGTAACCTTTTGTTTGTCAGCAGGCAGGAGATATTGAGCAGCGTTTTGTGGGCCCCATGGAGCCGGTCGAACGTCCCCCCCACCACCACGTCGGTGTAAGTTCCCAGGACCTCTGGTTGCTTTTCAGGCTCCTTCTGCTCTTCCTCTTTCTCCAGCAGCTTCATCAACTGTGGGTGAAGTAGCACTGAAGGCAGGCTGGGGCCGCAGACGTAGCAGTGGCCGGTGTATTTCTGTAAGCACTGGGTGATCTGATGGGACTGACCGCGGTCCTTCAGAGGGAAGTCTGTCAACAGCACGTCGGGAGAGTGAGACAGATGCTGAGGGGTAGGGAAGGGGCAGGACGGGACTGAGGTCCCGCA